ATAATCACAGGCAAGAACAAAATGCTGGAAGGTTTAGAAACAAAGACTTATTTGGCATTTTGGCTTGAAGAGGTGCTGACACCAATCAGTGCATGCCAGCACTAGTGCGGGCCGTACTGCTTGTCCCATTCACCCACCCTTGTGGCTGGGCATAGTCACCAGCCCCTGACCTTGAGCACCTGTGACAGAACCACTTCTCCTCTTTCCCCAGATCCCTGGTGTAGAGGGCAATGCCTCAGTTCCCTTAGGTATCTATTCAAACAGCATCTCCCAGATCAGCCTCTCCTGCCTGTGGAACTTGGAAGCTGCTCAGTGCTGCCTCCTAGCCCTGCTCTCTCTTCACTGTTTCCACAGCACTTCTCATCTTGTGATGCCCACACGCCTGCCTCCCTCACTGTAAAGGAAGGTCCACTCTACACCAAGCACCTAGAGCAGAACCTGGAATAGGTAAGCACTCAGCCCACATGTGCTGAATGAAACCTGTGCTAAAGGCTTCTTTTACAGAACGGAACAAGTCTTGGCTTCTCTCACCTGCCTTCCATTGGTACCGGCAGCCATGAAATAGAGAAAGAGATGTCAGGAAATGAGGCAAGTTGGGGCTTCATAAACAAGGCAGGGTGAAGACCCCAGGTAACATTCTGGGAGGAGCTGGCAAGGGCAGTGGTTGTGCCAGGAGCTCCTGGGGGCAGACTTCCTGGCCCTCTTTCCCAGATGTTTCCGTCCCTTTGTTTTCCCCTGCAGGGCATGTCATGGGATTCCAAGAAGAAGGACCTGTTATCAGATTAAGTGCCAATATCTAAACACCCGTGAAGTTGGTGAGGACCCAGGCATGTGTCTGTGGGATAGGAACGGGTCCCACCGTGCACCAGGTGTGGCCGCCTCCCGTGGACTTCAAAGGCCAGGGAGGAAAGGGGCTGCAGACCTGCAAATAGGTGACTCAATCCATTGTTCCACGTATCTGAAAAATCAATTGGGTCCAAAGTAAAAATATTTATTTAATCAGCAAAAATGTGTGGCTAATTGGTTTTTAAAAGAATATTGCTTCCTGCTCCTTGAAACTGAAAAGGGGCCTTTGAAAAAAAATATTGACAGGGCTGAAACCGGTTTGGCTCAATGGATAGAGCGTCGGCTTGGGGACTGAAAGGTCCCGGGTTCGATTCCGGTCAAGGGCATGTACCTGTTGTGGGCATATCCCCAGTAGGGGGTGTGCAAGAGGCAGCTGATCGATGACTCTCTCTCATCAATGTTTCTAACTCTCTATCTCTCTCCCTTCCTCTCTGTACAAAATCAATAAAATATATTTAAATTTTATATATATATATATATATATATAGACAGGGATCAAGTTCTGAAAATGGTTGCTGGCGGTTAAATAAGTTCAGAAAATGGCATATAGCTCACAGGAGGCAATTCGGTCTTTTCCATGGGGTACTGAAGTGGGCCCCCTCAGAGCAATACCACGTCAGCGGAGCGTACACCACAAGAAAGTGCACCCTGGAGGGCCAGACTGCTGCAGGCTAGTGGCAATATTATACCCCCTCCCACACATCCCCCATTTCAGGGTCCCAGTAGTTGTTCCGTACACTTGCGTCTTATGGAAGGTGGTCTCCTCAGTCAAGAACTGGTGTTTGATAGCAGAACTGGGTGTGGCTCATGTCAAGTTTCATGGCTCTGTAAGCCCAGATCACTCCCCTGTAAAATGGACATGAGAGAATGGTATCCTTGTGACATCTTCTGCAACGCACCTACCATGGCTCAGCAAACCTGAATCTGCTCCTGGCAGGGCCTGCTGCTCAGCCATGCACATGAGGTTCTTTTCTTAGGGCACCTGTGGCCAGTCCCACTGCCAGTCCTGCTGCCCAGTGTCCTGGGACACACCTCCACTGAAAGCCTCAATGTAAAGCAAAGACACAGAGCTGGGCTCCCTCCAGCCACAGCAGCCATTCCACAGCCTATCCTATGAGCTGATGGAGCTCACGCAATGCCCTGTGTGTGAGGCATATGCCTGTGTGTGAGTTGTCAGTAGACAAACCAGAAGAAGCAGGACTCGAGCTCTGTGCTAAGATTACTTGCTATGGGGCAAGATGTTGTCACACTCCCAGCCCATTCTTGAGAGTCTTTACCTTAAAGCGGCCTGGCACCACAGCTCATTCACACTTCGGAGAGAAGTTATTTGGCAAAATGACACATGGACTATTCACAAATATTGATGTTGATTTTTACCGTTAGAAATGTAGTAAGGGAAAGGACTCTTTTGTTCAACACTTACGAATGAATGAGCACAAGAGGAAGTATATCCAGTGCAAAGCTGTCCTTGATGGTATGCTGCCCAAGAAAAAGCTTTGATGGGGGAGCGGGAGGGTGGGAAGGGCTTGCTCCCTGGGCTGGTGGCCTCCTCGAGACTTGGAAGCAGCACAGACCACAGGCACATCAATGAGGTGTCTTGCAGGTGCATCTGCTCAGTATCCACTTTGCCCAGGCTGGGGGTGAGCCAAGAGAGCAATCAGGCTCAACCGGGCCTCCCGGGTGACCAAGGGCAGTTCCCTCCATCTGGCTGGTAAAGACCCACAGAGTTGGAGCACTGGCTGTGTGCTGGCTCAGGAGGTCTGTGTGCAAGTGTGCACTTGGGTATATGGCTGAGAGCCTGCCAGAGAGTGTGTAGTGGTGTTAGTGAGTGCAGGAATACGCATGTGTGTGAGTTGTCAGTGGTCACAGGGGAGATCTGGGTGTATCTTCAGGCTCACAGGAGCTCCTATAAGACATTGATTTTCAGTCAAGTTGAGCCCAGTTGGCCACTGTTCCCTTGTTGGCTTTTGTCACAATGCAGAGATGACCACTCACAGCAGTTAACACACATGTCAGGAGCACATCGGTTCCCCTCAGCCGCTCTGGCTCTGAAGACCTGGGAGAAGCTCCTGAGACTTGAGGAAGGTGGGAAACCGCCCCATTGTATACGCCTGGCTCACTCCTGGCTAGATTTGTCGCCACAAAAAAAAAAAAAAAAAAAAAAGCCGGGACTAGTTTGGCTCAGTGGATAGAGCGTCGGCTTACGGACTGAAAGGTCCCGGGTTCGATTCTGGTCAAGGGCATGTACCTTGGTTGCGGGCACATCCCCAGTAGGGGGTGTGCAAGAGGCAGCTGATCGATGATTCTCTCTCATCGATGTTTCTAACTCTCTGTCCCTCTCAATTCCTCTCTGTGTAAAATCAATAAAATATATATTTTTTAAATGGAAACAGGTTAAATAAATGTGGGTTTAGTTCATGATCTAATGTGACCATTAAAAATGGTGTTTAATAAGTGATGTTGAAGAATATTTAGTGACTGTTTATAAAAAGCATCTTTGAGATAGCTCAGCATAATCTCACCACTGTTAAATACACACAGACATCCCTGGGGATACACGTGAGTGTTGACACTGGTTATCTCTGTGTGGTTTAATCTTGTTTCCTTCTGACTTTTTTTTTTTTTTTTTTTTTGTCTTTTCCGCAATGAATATGCAACACTTCAGTAACAGAAAACATGATTTTCAAAGGTTTTTTTTTTTTTTTTTTTTTGGTTCTTCCAATACAGGAGACATGCTGTGTGGTGCTGTCCCACGGGACATGTGCAGAGGTCTGTTCTCCATAAACTGCCACCTGACCTGAAGCGACCACGGGCAGGAGGAAGCTGCTGGTGTTTGGAGTGTGGGCTGTGCCTGACAAGCTACTTGTCTTCACTTGGGGCCGACAGAAGCCTTTGTTTGCTTCTGAAAAGCAAAGATATTTGTTCGCTTTCCTGGCTGCATGAAGTTCCACTCAACGGAAAGTTGGTGTGGCGACCACAGCTGGCCTGGGATGTGCTGGAATCCCTCCAGTCTTGTAGGAAGGGGACTGCGGAGCAGTACGGGGACATACTGTGTTCCAGGACAATATCGACCCAATGTTACTGAGTGCTCTCCAGTCGCAATAAATCACTCAGCACAGGTGCCCAAGGAAGCCTGGGTACCAGGTTTGAAGTTCTGATCTGCTTAGGACGGGCACCCTGCATAACCCGCCCTGCACCCCATCTTCTGGTCTGTGGCATCCCAGGGGATGCTACCAACAAGCTGTTTAAATCTGGGATGAGGGGTAGCAGGAGCGCCCCCGTATACCAAGATTGGGGAAGAGAGGGGCACTCGGCGCAGACTGGGTGGGGCAGATTCAGACCCAGAATGGGGTCTTTCCTAAATCCCGCAGATCTCAAATGTTCCTCACGGCTGAAACCGGTTTGGCTCAGTGAATAGAGCGTCCGCTTGTGACTGAAGGGTCCCGGGTTGAATTCCTGTCAGGGGCCTGTATCTTGGTTGCGGGCACATCCCCAGTGGAGGTGTGCAGGAGGCAGCTGATCAATATTTCTGACTCCCTGTCCCTTTCTCTTCCTCTCTTAAAAAATCAATAAGATATATATTTTTTGAAAGTTCCTCATGACACCCCATAAAGACCCAGAGGGACAGGCACGCCATGAGCTTTCCGGGCAGCGGGTGCCTGGCTAGATCCGACCCCAGAATCGCCGGGAAGTTGAGGACAGAGACGGAGGATGACTGGCCGCCACCGAGTGGCTACGGAGGGAGAGACCTACGACTCCAAGTGCCGGGGTTCCGCCCAGGACGCCGGGGCGAGGCTGGGAACCCGCAGAATCCGGAGGTGGGGTGGATCCCTCCGGGCACGTGGTCTTTCCAAGGGGCAGCGTTCCTGGGGCACCGTGGGCAGAGCTGGCCGGGGTCGCCGCTCCGCGTCCTAGGAGAGGCTCCAACTCCACCCACCCCCGTGGCCGGTGGCCCGACCACCCCGCGCCCCTCCTCCCTGAGGCCCAGCTCCACCCGCTTTGGTCCAGGTCCACCCCTTTCCGCCGGGTTCCAGCTCCAGGCCCCGCCCACTAGGAGGCCCCGCCCTATCCCGACATGGCCACGCCCCCATGCCACCCCTGGGGTCCCTCCGCGGCCACACTGCGCAGGCGCAGGCTCGGGTCCGTTTGAAAGCATGGCGCCGGCGGGCCCGCGGCTGGTGCTGAGTGAGGACAAGATCTGGGAGAAGAGCGGCCTGTCGCCTCACCACGACCTGGGTGCGTGACGGCAGCAGGCGCGGGGCGCCGGCTGAGGGCGCCAGCTTCCCGCCAGATGGTCAGGATCAGGCCAGAGGAAGGCGGCACTAGGACCTGACGGTCCGGGCCAGGGTCGTGAGGTGTGGGGGTCCCCAAGGGCACGTGTGCAGAGGAGGGGGTGAGGGGTGGAGGCTGGGGATGGTGGTCTGTGCGGAGGAGAGGTGGGATGTGGGGGCAGGTGGTTGGGGGGGAGGGGGGACTAACTGTAATGGTAGATGTGCCCATTTCTTCTTTCACTTCATGTGTTTTGGAGGTGTGCTATTTGTTGCAAACCATTTTAGGTATTTTTATGTCTTCCTGTGGGAGTGACTCTTGTAGCAGAATACTTTGTGGAGACATCTTGCCCCGATCATTTTCTTTGTGGAGACATCCACTTTATCCGATATTAGTGTAGCCACTCCAGCTGTACTTTGGTGTTCTCAGGGCATGTCTTTCCCCATCTATTTACGATTTTATCTTTTAACCTGCCTATATCATTTTATTTGAAATTACTTTCTTGTAGGTAGTGAATAGTTCATTCATTTTAATGCTCTCTTACAATCTCTGTCTTTTATGGTGTGTTTAGACCTTTTACACTTAATGTAATTATCAACATATTATAGTAGGGCTTATGTATGCCATTTTATTATTTGTTTTCTGTTTGTTCTCTTTTTTTAAAAAAAAATATATATTTTATTGATTTTTTACAGAGAGGAAGGGAGAGGGATAGAAAGCTAGAAACATCAAACAAATGAGAGAGAAACATCGATCAGCTGCCTCCTGCACACCCCCTACCTCCAGACTAACCAAGGAGTTGCGTGAGAGATCTATTGTTTTATAAATATGTCTATAATACTTGTAAACTGTATACTTAATGATTTAAGTGTGCTGTTGTTTTTCTTGTGCCTGCAACCAGTGTACATGCCCTTGACTGGAATCAAACCTGGGACCTTTCAGTCCGCAGGCCTACGCTCTATCCACTGAGCCAAATGGGTTTCGGCTGTTTGTTCTCTTGTTTTTCTTATGTTATTCCCCTTTTCCTGCTTTCCCTGTGTTTACTTGAATATTTTTAGTTTTTTATTTTGATTTGTCTTTTATATTTCTGAGCATATCATATATATATATATATATATATTATTCACTTCAGAGAGGAAGGGAGAGGGAGAGAGAGATAGAAACATATCTGGTGTGTGAGAGAGAATCATTGGTGAGAGAGAACCATTGATCAGCTGTCCCCTGCTCACCTCACATTGGGGATCCAGTCCGCAACCTGGGTATGTGCCCTGATAAGAATTGAACTATGACCCCCTGGTTCCTGGTCCAAAGGGTGATGCTTACCCACTAGCTATGCCAGCCACGGTGAGCATATCTTTTTGTGTAGCATTTTTAGTGGTGAACATAAACTGAAACTTTATACGCAATTCTTGTTTTTGAGATTTTTTGATGATTTATTTTCAATTTAAAAAATAATGTTAAAATCTCACAATTTTCTCTCCTTAGCTGAACTTCAGTCATTATCTATTCCTGGAACTTATCAAGAAAAGATTACTCACCTAGGGAATTCTTTGATGAATTTAACAGGTCTAAAATCTTTAGATCTCTCACGCAACTCCTTGGTTAGTCTGGAGGTAAGTTTTAGGTTTGAGTTGTCTTTTTTTTTAAGGAGGAAGTTGGGAGAGGTTGTTTTATTATTTTTTTAATCCCCACCCGAGGATATGCATAGAAATACATAGGTAAGGAGAGAGAGAAAAAAACAAACATCGATGTGAGAGAGAAACATTGTTCAGTTGCCTTCCGTATGTTCCCCGACTGGGGATCAAACCTGCAACCGGGAATCAAACTGGCAACCTTTTGGTGCATGGGATGATGTTAAACTATCTGAGCCACTCTAGTCGGGCTAAGTTTGTTTTTTAAAGGAAAATTTGTTACTATTAGTGGCAGTAGAAAGTATATTTATAATTATAAATATATTGTTTTATAAATATGTCTATAATACTTGTAAACTGTATACTTAATGATTTAAGTGTGCTGTTGTTTTTCTTGTGTTTACCATGAACTAGATTTCTTATGCATCACATTATATCTTTACTACTTTGCTGGCCAAAAGTTTTAACTCTCTGTTGAAGACAGTTGTATCTTTAAAGGAATAAAATAAAGTCCAAAAGACTTATGTGTGTATGCCCATCACTTTCTATCCCTCTATCAGCTGTGTTTTTCTTCATCCACTTTCTGCACTGCGCCTCTGTTTATAGTCTGCCCCTTGGTGGCTGCAGGCCTTTGAATGGCAGGGCCACTGGTGCAGTCTTGCTGCAGGGGCTCATTCCTGATAAGTAGTGAGAAGTTACCCAGGTGATGGCAAATGGTGTATATAGGGAGTGGTTCTTGCCTTGAAAGAAAGGCAGGGCATCACTGCCCTGGATCATGATACTTTCAGAGTCAGTGGCGAGATCCAATCCAGGTTGCACCCAGTGCTGGCTCATCTCTCAGCCTCCAATCCTCAGTTTTCTAATCTGTGAAATGGGAGCAGTAGTAGGGCTTACCCTGTAGGGTCGTGTGCATGTGGGATGAAGTTATTTGTGTAAATCACTTAGCACGGTACTTGCCAACTGTCCTTAGTAGACACAACTGTTTCGAACTTCCCTGAATAGTCATATCACTGTGTGCAGGACAGAAATTGATAGACAAGAACACATTTCATCTTTATGCTCTTCCTATAACGTAAGTTCATTTGTTAAGTTGGTTGATCACTTTCTACTGGTGGCCCATTTTTCTATGTGTTTTTTTTTTTGTTGTTGTTGTTGTTGTTGTTGTTTAAAGAAAGCATAAACTCATTCAGCATTGTATCCTGTTAATAGGGCATTCAGTACCTGGTTGCATTGGAAAGCCTCAATCTCTACTACAACTGCATTTCCTCACTAGCAGAAGTGTTCCGGCTCCACTGCTTGACTGAGCTCACGGACGTGGACTTCCGACTGAACCCTGTGGTGAAGAATGAGTCTGATTACCGCCTCTTTGTTGTGCACATGCTCCCGAAGCTCAGGCAGCTGGGTAGGTGTGTGCTCACACCCTTGCTCAGTTGAGACCTGACTGGTGTTTGGTACTGTCAGATCCATTGCACGTTGCTCTTCCCGAAAAGGGAAGTTCCTTTCTACTCTGATGGCCTGAGTCCCTGTATTACAGGATGGGTCTTGTAGGAGAACCGCCTGGGAAGGTGGCAGGGAGCCTCGTGGCCAGAGATAATTGCCGGGAGACCAGGGGCACGGGCATGGGCTGGACTGCTCAGTCTCATTCTGGCTTCACTGTCTAGCTGTTTGACTTAGCCCCATTCCTGAACTTCTGATGCCCTGTTTCCATGCATGGCCCCTGGGCATCGTCTGAGGCTCAGGTGGACAGCTGGATTCTACTGGCGTGGCCTCTACCTGGAGAAATACGGGACTAGAAGTTAATTGTGCCACACCCTCCCCCAGGTGACTGGTATTAGAGAGAGTGTTGTGTTGGCAGGTACCGCCACCATTAAACCCATGTCGCTTAAAAAATGGATCCCTGTGACAGCCTCACAGGCAGAGCTTGCAGGTTGCCAGCTGGAGAAGTCCATTTGGGAGGATCGCACCCAGGGAAGCCACATCAATGCCTTCCCACCTGCCTCAACACCCACCAGGAGAGGTCTTTGCCCTGAGCAGTGAGGCCACTGGCACTTCGATGCTCCCTCACGTCGCACTTCAAGGGGAGAGAGCTGGAGCATGATTCCAGGGTACACTGACCATGCCAGTCATGGGGAAGGGAGGGAGGGGGCCTCAGACCTTTGGTCCTCTTGTGTAAAGTGTGGTGGTAAATGCTGGGTAGCTGTGGTGCAGGTATATCTGATTGAAGGGTGTGGTCATGTGCCCCAGTGATCACAGCATGTCCCTAATCTGCAGGCCCATTCACTTCTCCGCGAGGCTGGGGATACAGTTTAGGCATCTCCATCTCCTGGGTTCTGATCTAATAATACCAAAGAGAGATCCACATCAGGCTAGCACTTGTCAGGAAAGACATTGCTCCACACCTGTCCCTGGTAGTAAACACTGAGCTGCAGGCAGACCACTGCCACTGTCCTGTCACTTCCAGCCAGTGTCTGTAGAAACCCATGTTTTGCATCTCTTGGCTGTGAGTGAATGTATGCACATCTCAGCAGCACATGCGTGTCAGCTTATCCTCTAGTCCCCTCTGCACTGCCTGGGCCTCAAGCAGGGCTGGGCTGTGGGTATGAATGACTGACCTCCAAAGGGTCAAACCTACTTAGAATTTCAATGCTTCCTTTTAATTTTTAGATATTGGGAGGAATAAGTGCTTCTGTTCTAAATTTTGACTAAGTAACTTATAAATAGTTGAATTTGGCTCTTTTTCAGAAGCATTGCAATTCTTAAGAGAAATGTTTGCAATCTTTAGTCTTAAGTAATTTCTTTTGTCATAAAAGTTTTAGGTTCAGAATTGTATAATGTTTGTATAATGAAGGGAAATGAGAGTCTTGCCACATGGGGAAGATAGTTTCAGACATGAAAAAGGAACATAATTGAAATTCAAAGTCATTGCAGGACTGGGAGTTGCTGAGTAGAGGCCTCAGGCTCAGAGCACACATGGGACAGTTTACACTTATCTCTCTGTTTCCTAATTCTGAGGATCTGAGGATCCAAACACTCAGCTAAGATGTCTCCTCTCTTTAGTGGGTCCAGAAAACTCACACCAGAGATTCTTAGTGTGCTCAGTGTGGTTCGAGAACCTCGTGCAGCCCCCAAAATGTACATTGATAGGAGGGAGTCTAGAAGGAGATGCCTGTGTGTGAACTTGTCTGTGTATTTCTTTTCCTGTGGCAGTAGCCTGTCTCCAAAGCAGTGTCTGGAGAGAGCTTTGTAGGAGCAGGACAGTCCTCTTGGAATCAGCACTCAGCATCTGGTGTAGCCACCAGAGCCCAGCACCCCTTTACTGGGTGTACTCAGTGTTTATGGGGCACGCTGTGGCAGGGTCAGCCCCGAGGGGACAGAGGTTTGGAATGAGTGGTGGCAGCCTGGTCATGTGTGGTGTGCTGCAGGGCGGTGATGGGGTGCCAGACAGTGCACCTGCCTCATGGTGGTGTTTGCTTCTCCCTAGATGACCGTCCCGTGAGAGAGAGCGAGCGGAAAGCATCCCAGTTGCATTTTGCTTCAGAGGAGTCACTCAACTCCACACAAAGCTTCCCAGCTGTTTGCAGAGTTGGAAGGTATGAACACGAGTGGTGTTCAGATGTGGGAAGAAGGTGCCCAGGCTTATCTATTCATAGAATGACTAGAAGATATAAAGCTCTGTATTAACTAACACATGTTAATGTTTTTGTGCTCTGAACGCCACTAAAAGGGCAGACATGCAGGAAGAGGGAAGCAAAAATGCCCAGATACCAGCTGGGACTCAAGGAGAGAGGGGGACTGAGTCTCTCTCTGTTGTCCACGTTTTCTATAAATTATTTTTAATATTAAAATGTTTGTTAAACTAATACATGTAAATAAATAGCACAGAAGACTTGTGAGAAACAACAGTCCCCATTCCCCACTACCCGGCCCATCCTCAGAGCAGCCACTTTCATTTACTTCTGTGATTGTCTCTGCTTCCTTCCTCATCCCCGGACAATACAAATTAATTGCCATTTCTGGGTGTGCACACTTGAAGCTGGGCCTGGCAGCTGCCATAGCCCCTTCCCCATCCCGTGGTGACATGGGACTATGCCCTCCTGCATCTCTGCTCAAAGCCTGTGGCCAGTGCTAAAGGCTCTGCTCTGGTGGGGCTGTGGGAGCACGTGCCCTGCCCCCTCTGGCCATCTTCATCTTTATGTTTAATTTTAGATTGTCAGGGCCAATAGTATTTAAATGTTCTAAATCCATAAAGAGTCTTCATGCTTTGTGTATGGGTTGATTCTAAAGGCAAAAGTCAATAAATTGTTTACATTTCTTATAATGTGCTAGGATTATTCACTCCTTGTACACTATTTTGTTTTGTCTGAAAAGGTGTACACTCCTTGTACACTATTTTGTTTAGGAAAAGAGGAGCTTTCTGAACTTCTGTTCTTGAACAAACCCTAGTGGGACTGTGCACATACTGGATGGTAGGTATGATGACATCACCCTTGCTTTCCATCGCCAGTTGTCCTTCTGGGTCCCTCCTAGACCTCACTTTAGTAGAGAGGCACAAGAGCCATTTCCTGCAGTTACATCAACTGCTCTTCCCAAGAGCCCTGTGGCTGTGCTGGCAGTGCATTAGGGTCTGCTCAGGTTGGAGGGACAGCACTGAGTTGGCTTTTCTTTGCAGACTGCACCACTCCAGAGTTAAGTGCATTGACCCCTCAGCCAAGAAGTGCTTAGTCATGGATGCGGATGACGAGGCAGTCCTGAACCTCATTGCCGAGTGTGAGTGGGACTTGAGCAACCCTCCTAGGAGCACAAGTTCCAGCCAGAAGGAGCAAGAGGATGACTTCCATAGTTCCCAAGGTACACTGCTCCACCCGAAGGCCCAGCGGGTCCAGCTTGCTCTGGGCACAGGTGTATTTTTTAGGAAGCTTACTTTTAAATATAGAACCTTCATGAAGTCCTGTGTACTTGTAAATATCAGTAATTTGGATTACAGAATTATAAAAGAAGAAGTGTATTTGAGAATAGTCATACACTACATGGTGGTTTAAATTCTTCCTCACATCAATTACAATTGTAGGTAGGGAGGAGGTAAAATGTCCACGTGGGCAAGAAGGTAGCATGTCCTGTGGCTAGTGGAACTGACGTCTGTGTCAGCCACAAGGGGGTGTTCACTTAGCGTTAGGGAGCACTTAGAGCTCAGTCTAACGCGTTAGAACTTTAAACCTGGCAAGCTCATTGTGAAGGCTTCTAGTGCATGCATGAATGTCCTTACTTTGCCAGACACTCTTTCCCATTGGGACTTTTTATAAGCTTTAGCACCATTTCTTCTTCCATTATGAGTTTCTGAGAGCTTTTCATGAAGACAACAACAGGCTGAGGTGTAAGTTTGAGCTGAATCCCAGGATTCACCTGCTGGCACAAGAACATCTGCTCTTTGGGTATCCTTGCCAGCTCTTAGATTTCCAGTCTTTTTTACTCTGGCTGTTCTTCTGAGTAAATATTAATATTTAATTATGGTTTTAATTTGTATTTCAGTAAAGTTCAGTTTATCAGTTTTTTCTTTATCCTTTTTTTTGTGCCCTGAAAAAAAAAATCTTTGTCCCATGCCATTGAAGATTTTCTCCTGTGGGTGTGTAGATGTCCGATGGTTCAGTGTTCAGGTCTGTGCTCCTCCACGCTTAGAGTGGATTTGTGATCGTAGTGAGCGGTGGGTCAGGTTGTCTCCCCCTCACATCCTCCCCTTATCCAGTTATGCTAATGCTACTTGTTGAAAATACTGCCTTTTGTCTTATTTAATAACCCTGGTACATTTCTTAATTCAGTTAACCTGATTTCTCTCTGGGTTCTGGATGCTGTTTTATCTGTCATCATGTCTGACTTTGTGTTGATGCCACACTGTCTTGACTCCTCAACTGTATAGCGAGTGGTGGTTGGTCAGTGTCAGTCTTGCACCTGTTAGCACTGTTTGCAGTGATTGCTCGACTCACTACAGGTTTAACGGTTGCATTATTGTTTTTTTAAAGTATTTTATTGATTTTTTTCACAGAGAAGAAGGGAGAGGGATAGAGAGTTAGAAACATCCATGAGAGAGAAACATTGATCAACTGCCTCCTGCACACCCCTTAATGGGGATGTGCCCACAACCAACATACATGCCCTTGACCAGAATCGAACCTGGGACCTTTCAGTCCATGGGCTGACGCTCTATCCACTGAGCCAAACCGGTTAGGGCAGCGGTTGCATTATTAACTCTCTTAGTCATCTTTTTCTTATTTAATTGGTACACTTAATAGATATAGTACACTGTTAGAAGCTTAAAATGTAATTTTTAATGAACTAAAACTTTTTAAATGTTCTTTAATAAAATAGAATCCAGACATCTGTTGAGTCCTCACTTAGTCCAGCACCAGTGTGGGGACTCCATAAAGAAGGGCCACGAGAAGAGAAAAAACAGCTCCAGAGGATGTTGTCCAGAAAAGAGGCTTCAGAACCAGTACTGTGGAGAGCTCCCGCCCCAGCAGGGAGACCAGCCCGAGACCTGCTGCTCCTTCGGACATCATGTGCACTTTCTCCCACACCCAGGTATCTCTCTCACGCAACAACCGCCATTGACTCCTTAATCCTGTCTATTTCTCCTATTCTTTTCCTTTCTTTGTGGAACTCTCTAAAATGTCTTAGGAAAGAACCTTATACATTGAAATTTAGAACACAACTACCCTGGCCAGATGGTTCAGTTGGTTGGAGCGCCACCTCCTACACCAAAAGGTTGCAGGTACGATTCCCCATCAGAGTGCATGCGAGAGACAACTGATCGAAACCCCCACCCCTTCTCTCTCCCTCTCTCTCTGTCTCTCTCTCTCTCTGTCTCTCTCTCTCTTCTCTAAAAATTAATAGAAACATATCCTCGGATAAGTGTAAAAATTTTAGAATATTCATATTTCAGATTCCTAGTCTGTGAGTACTTTGTTGCTTTTCTGTACACACACACACACACACACACACACACACACACAAAATACATGCATATTTTTCTCCCTCTCCCTCTCACTCACACATGTACAATTTCTTATAACTGTATGGGCCAAAGTTATAACTATAGTTCTATTTTAAAAATTAAAGGTGAAGAAAATGAGTAAGTTAATTGAGAGTGTTGTGTGCACACATGTAACAAAAATGTCAGAAAACTTCCCAATATGAGTGAACCTAGCACTTTCCTGAGACTTGTTCAGGTGAGTTCACAGTTCCTTCGGTGTTGGGGTGGGTTGTGGTGATGACCTGCCCAAGTTGCCGGTGGCCACTACAGAGCAGTGTATGGTGTTGAGTCCAGGTAACACACACCCCTATTATATTCTCTACTTTCGTTGTCCTGCTTACTTTCACCTTATATCCTGAGACTTAATGATGATGCTGTGGTGTATGGGTGCACAGGACCTCCATTTCTGTTGATTGTCAGAATTCATCATTTCACCTGTTCACAAAGGTGCATGTGCTTAGACCTCTTTATTGACCTGAAGTTCTTGTGAATTCCCGAGTGAACACAGAAATGCTGCCACAGCAGAATAAGGAAGTTTCATATCTACATCATCCAGACCCCCTAAGTCAGCACTGACCACATTTGCGCTGTTGTACCCTTGTCCCCACCCTCTGTGTGTGCATGTTTCTATGTGTGCATGTATAGATGTATGTGTGTCCATATGTATGTATGTACACTCTTTGTTAGCAGATGAGCAGTGCCCCCTGAGGTAGGGAGGGTCCCAGGAACTAAAGTTAACAGAATCTACTAAAGGAACAAATTGTTGAGCCCTCTCTAATTTCCAAAATTTTAGATTTTTACTCAACTTTGTTAAACATAATTTTGGCAAGAAAACGTATAATCATCAGCCGATTAATTTGTTAAAGTTATTATTCAGTCTTGTTATGCTGATGGATTTCCCATATGTGCACACATGCATGCACACACAGTGCATGCACAGGTATACCTGTGCCCAGAGAACTTGGTCTGATGAGTGTTGTGTTCTCATCTCTGTTATAGACTGCATAGACATAGAGAACTCAACCTCCTCTACTCAGACGTCAAGTTTGTCAACACAAAAGGCGTTAAATCCTTTGCCTGGTATGGAAAAGTACCGGAAGCGAAGAATGCCTGGAGGGAGATTCCAGGCCCCTGCAGACCAGGAGTGTCTCAGCTGCCTGGAGGAGGGTCTGAGCAGGCAGACTGGCTCCGAGAGCAGGAGCGAGAGGACCTGTTCTCACCTGGAGATCAGGAGTGAGAGGACCTGTTCTCATCTGGAGTCGTCTGAGTCTGAAGAGCAGAGGCCCCACAGCACGAGTGGCGCCAGGGAGGTGAGCAGAGAGCTAAAGATGCCTGGATGTTCTAGCTGAGGGGCTGCTGTGTCTTCTGTTTTCAACATTAACTGTGATCCCAAGATAAATACAACTGTTCAGTGCATGTTTCATTGGTGTTTGTCACCTCTATTTTGCTAGAAATGTGCTTCCATGCATTGGGACCCAGACATGGTAGGCTGGCTTCCCGGCTGGTCCCTGCAGGCTGTGGGTCAGAGTCTGCTTTTACAGAGGGCCTGGCTGTCATCTGTTCTCACTGTCTCACTGTCTGAATTGAGGGAAGAAAGGAAAATGGGATGTGCACAGGCTTTTCCAGTCTGCCAAGGGTTAGCACCAGGGGCAGAGCTGTGTCGCAGATGTGCATACTCGCTGTGGGGTTGGGACTTTATAGGAGGGGTGCTGCCCAGGGCTCCCTCTCCTCTCGGCTCACAGCTATGGCCTCATGGTGGTCGTCCTTATGGAAAGGGCACGACCCATGCTCCACAGATGGAAGACAGAAATCTGTGTGACTGCACTGTGTCCACCCTGAAGACTTTGGCTCTGTATGCATGTCTGTCACCCTGGCCCAGTATCCAGATTCATATTCTGCTGGAGGTGTTTGAGCCGAACACTCACTGGGCTGGTCTCAGCCTCAGTTCTAGGCAGCAAGGAGCCAGGCCTTACTGCTACCATGCTGACCAGTTATAGGATATGGGCTGATGTGAACTTGGGCCGAGCAGTGCTCCCTTGGCATGTGGTGTTAGAAGCCTTGTGTTTCAGGAACTGAAAACCTATGTCATGGTTTTGTTTCTATTGCAGGTGACTCCCAAACTGCTCTCAGCTGAGCCACCTGGGAAGGCTGCCCTGGAGGTGGCACTTCTAGAAACACTCCTAGACCTGGTGGACAGGTACTGGAGTGGCTGCAAGTCCCTGCATAGCAACGAGGTGTTCCTGGGTGAGTTGGGAAGGGACAGTCACTCATCAGTTCAGAGCCACGTGTAAGCCCACCCTTTGGGTAGCATTGTGTTAGTCGGTACTTGCTCTCCCATGGGGTTCTGGGTTCCTCACATGCTGCACCCTCATCAGCTATCACTGTGGCTTCTTTGCTGCAGTGAATACCCTGATGATGTCCTCTCAGTAACTGGGGGTCCCCCTGAGGAATAGCTTTTGGTTTTCCTAGCCACCGGCTTAGGTGTTTGAGGAGATGCCTCGTTGCCTGGTTTTGTTGGAAGTGCCATTCACAGGTATTTGGTTCTCTTGGCTTTGTTTTCACATGGGGATTTGGAGAGGTTAAAAAGCTAATACTGTCATCTTCGACCTGGTATTTGCCGAGATTTTGATGGAAATTAAATTTTGATGGAAATTAAATTCTGAGGTCCAAGGGGGATGGCCCCTCCCCTGAGAGTACTTTGATTTGCTTCCACCTAGTGCCTAGGTACAAGAGCACATTGGAAACTCCATCACCCAGAGTCAGAATGTGAAACAGGGTGCTGCATCCCCAGTGGGTCAGAGTCTGCTTTTACAGAGGGCCTGGCTGTCATCTGTTCTCACTGTCTCACTGTCTGAATTGAGGGAAGGAAGGAAAATGGGATGTGCACAGGCTTTTCCAGTCTGCCAAGGGATAGCACCAGGGGCAGAGCTGTGTCGCAGATGTGCATACTCGCCGTGAGGTTGGGACTTTCCTCCTCAGTCTCTGCAGGGCGATGTGCAGTGGCCCAATTGGAGTGGGGACCTGCCAGCCCTCTCCTTTCCGAGAGACCTTGGGCTCTGCTTGAAGCTGCCATCCTAGCCACACCAGAGGCTCCTGAGCACTTCAGAATCAGGATGCCCCAAGAATGCTGATCCCATAAATCTACACCCTCTCATTAGGATAGCAGCAGGGCTGTTGAAGATAGTGTGGTGGGCTGCTAGGGCGTTCAGCCCAGTCTTCCTAGTTGTAGCCTTCTCCTGAGGGGTACTTTTTCTCTAGAACAAAACTTTTTTCTGTTCTTTTCTGCCTCTCATCCTTGACTAGATGTAAAACAGCCTGAGTGAAGGTAATGTCAATGGTACCCTCATCCCTTTGCCAGTCTCCGTGCCTATCTGTGTTTTTAAGGCATGTAGTGTGTGTTATTCAAAATGTGTTGAACATATTTTGTTTACACAGTCTCTTGTCATAAATGCAATAATAATACTTGATTTTTACTTCTAGCTCAGGCACGACATATTTTGTCATCTGTTCAAGACTTTACATCAACTCAGGACAGTTCCACAACTGCGAGCGAAGAAATCAACTACCTGACTCTTGAAAATAAATCTTTGCAAAATCACCTTGTTGAACAACAGCAGCAATATAGTGAGAAGATGAATGAGGTTGTGTCGGAGCTCAACAACACTCGGAAAGAGATGGTGAGCCACGCCCCTCCCATTTCCTTTTGTTCACTGATAGGGTGAAAGCATTGTTTTGATTTCACACAGTGAAGGGGGATTTTCCAGTCTGCACTTCCCTTTAGCTGCTATTGGACTACAGCACTGGGGCTCCTCACAGGTTTTCCCCACCTGGGGAACTCTGGCCTGACTTTGTAACAGCTATTTGCAGATGGAGGCATCACCACTTCTCCCAGCTCTACCTCTTTTGACTGGTTGCCTTCTCTTCTAAGAAAGGATTAATGAGAGAAAATGAAGCTGGGTTTACAATGGGATTTTTGTGGCCCCATATTCCCTGGCCCAGGTTCCCCAGACCTCTGATGAGAGAGGTTTCACTTAGCTGTGTGATCCTTAGTTTCTTGCTCCTGTCCTGCTTGCAACAGCCCCAAGACCCCAGGTGTCCTATTGGACTTGAGGAAATTTCCACCACCAGGTGGCACTAAAGGGCAACCAGTGCCAGCACAGCTGGGCCTACTAGTTGATCCTAAGATGCACTTGTCTTTTGTAACCTCACCATAAGTCCATCACACAGAAATGTCTACGTTAAAAAAGAAGAAAGATATCAAATTTACAACCTAAATTTAAACCTCATAGAACTAGAAAAAGAAAAACAAAGTAAACCCAAAGTTTACAGAAGGAAGAAAATAATAAAGATCAGAGCAGAAATAGAAAATAGAAAAGCAATAGAAAAAATCAACAAAACTCAGTTGGATTTTTTAAAAAATATATATACAAAATCAACAAACCGTTAGCTAAACTAAGAAAAATAAGAGAGAAGAATCAAAAATCAGAAATGGAAGAGGAAACATTAAAATATATGCCTCAGAAATAAGTAAAAATCAAGAAGGACTATTATGAATGATTATATGCAAACACATTAGATAATCTAGAAGCAATGGATAAATCATAGAAACATGCAACCTATCATGATGGTATAAAGAAGAAATAAAACCTGAACAGACCAATAACAAATAAGGAGATTGAGCAGTAGTCAAAAGGCTCCCAAAGAAGAAAAGACTCACGGCTGAGTTCTACCAAACATTGAAAGAAGAATTAATACTGAGCCTTCTTAAACTCTTCTGAAAAATAAAAGTAGAGGTAACACCTTCAAATTCCTTTTGTGAAGCAGCATCACCTGATTTCAAAGCCAGACAGACACCACAAGAAAGAAAACTACAGGCCAGTATGTTTGATGAACACAGGTGTAAAAACCCTCAATAAAATACAAGAGAACTGAATTCAGTTTCACATCCAGAAGATTATTCACCATGATCAAATGCGATTTTCTCCTGGAATGCAAGGCTGGTTCAACATATGCAAATTAATATACCACATTAACAGATTGAAGGATAAAAACCACACTATCATCTCAATAGGTATAGAAAAAGCACTTGACAAAGTTCAACATTTACTCATGATTAAGAAAAATAACCTCTTAACAAAATAGGTAGATAAAGAACATATGTATATACAACATTTATTCACCCTTTGTAAAAAAAAGGAAATCCTGTCATTTGCAACAACATGGATGGTCCTTGAGGTTAAGTGAAGTAAGTCAGGCAGAACAAACTGTATGATCTCACATATGGGATTTTAAAAAGTTGGAGGGAAGCTACCTGCCCAGGTGGACCATAAAGGCCTGAGACCTGCCGGTACTCTTGCTGCGGCGACCACGGGACCGTCCTGGAGAAGGAAGGGCTTGAGCAGCCAGCCACTACATCTGTTCCCCTCAGCACCAGCGCCGTGGCTCCTGTTGAAGCACACTCCTCACTGGAGAACATGGGAAGCCCACCCCTCACCAGGGAACATGGGAAGGTGGGTGCTCCCTTGTAAGCTGGACTGCCTCTTTTCCTGTCCTCTCTGAAGGACACAGGCCTCAGCCTGCTGACAGAGGAGATGCATGCATACAGTCATGTGCCACACAACAACATTTCAGTCAGTGCCAGCCTGCACATATGACAGTGGTTCCATAAGATTATAATGGAGCTGAAGAGTTCCTTTCACCTAGTGATGCCATAGCTGCCATGATTTAGCAAAAAAGGTTGTAAAGATCACCAGGGGTGTGGTGATGTGGGAAACAGCTTTAACCAAGGTGTGCCTGAGGATGACATTGGGGAGCTCCTGGAATGCAAGGTGGTGCTGTAGGACTGACTACTGAGGAGTTGTTGGAACAGGAACAGGAATGCATAGCTGAAGAAGCAGCAAGAGAAAAAGGAGAAGATAAAGAAGAACCCCAAGAAAATTCACAGTGAAGGGTTAAGCAGAAGCTTTTGCAGACCTTAACAAGCTCCTTAAAAGGTTAGAAAACATGGGCCTCAACACCAAAATTTTTTCATTAATAGAGAGAATGCTCATGGTGCATTGTCTGCTTACAACCAAATTATGACAAAAGGAAGCGAGCTGAGCAAACCACCCTGGTCGTATTTTACAAAGAGTGATGTCCTCAAGTAGAGCCTCAGGCAGGTCCTTCAGAAGAAGGCATTGTTATCATAGGACATGACGGCTCCATGCCTGTTTTTGTCCCTACAGAGCTTGTGGGACAAGATGTGGACATGGACAACAGTGATATTGGTCATCCTGACCCTGTGTGGGCCTGATGTGTGAGTTGGTGTCACAGTTTTTAACAAAAACGATTAAAAAATAAAAACTAACCAAACATATTTTTTGCAAAAAGGTCTATTAAGGATATAAAGAAAAAATATTTTTATACAACTGTACAGTATGTTTGTGTTTTAAGCTACGTGTTATTATAAGAGTAAAAAAATTTATAAAAATTTAAAGTTTAGCTGAGGCCGGTTTGGCTCAATGGATAGAGCGTCGGCTTGGGGACTGAAGGGTCCCGGGTTCGTTTCCGGTCAGGGGCATGTGCCTTGGTTGCGGGCACATCTCCAGTGGGGGGTGTGCAGGAGGCAGCTGATCGATGACGCTCTCTCATCGATGTTTCTAACTCACTGTCTCCCTTCCTCTCTGTACAAAATCAATAAAATATAAAAAATAAATAAATAAAATAAAATAAAATAAAAATTTAAAGTTTATAAAGTAAAAAAGTTATACTAAGTTAAGGTTAATATACTATTGAAGGGAAAATATTTTTTGTAAATTAGTGTAGCCTAAGGCACTGTGTTTATAAAATCTACAATCATGTACAATAATGTCTTAGGCCATCACTAACCACTCACTCACTGACTCATCACAGCAACTTCCAGTCCCACAGGCTCAGTTCATGGTAAGTGCCCTACACATGCATACCATGTTCTCTCTTATACCATATGCTTACTGGACCTTTTTTGTGTTTAGGTATATTTAGTCCCACAAATATTACATGTGTTATAGTTGCCTGCATTATCCAGTATAGTAACATGCTGTACAGGCTTGTGGCCAGTGAACAGTGGACTGTACCATCTAAGTTTGTGTATACAAAATGACAAAGCACCGCATTTCTTAGGACATATCTCTGTTGTTATGTGACAAATGACAGTACAGCTTTTCACATTGTGATTCAGAATTCTGATATGTAAATGAAACTATTATCTGGTTACTTCAAAGGATTTTATTTAATTTTCTATATGCATCTTGTTGAAATTGATTTGTCATTTTAAAATGTATTGTTCTGTGACCTTAGGATGACATGCGAAAACATTTAGACAAAACTTTGGAGGAGAATAGTAGCTTAAAGTCTCTCCTGTGCAGCATGAAAAGAGAAGTAAAAAATGCAGATGCTTCAGCTGCGTTAAATTTGCAGATCACTGGTGAGTTTATGGTCTGTTTGGGACCACTACTTGGTGAAATGTACATGTTCAAACACTCATGAAACTTATTTTAATTTATTACCAGAATTCAGAACCAGCAAATAATGTAAAATGGGTATTGGAGCCCACACCCTTGGGTGGTCTGAGTTGCACTGGCACACGAATGATGCAACATGCTTGCCCATGGCACGTTCACGTGTATCTGGAAAGAGAGCTGTGTCTGAGGAAGAGGCGCCTTCCTTGTGGGCTCTGACAGGTCCTTACTGCTCCAGTCCTCTGACTCCTTTGGAGCTCAGGGGTCATCCCATGGCTGTGGCGCCATGGACCATGGGGCCAGCCTGTCTGCCCCTGGCATGTGCAGGGCACTAGCCTTCTGCTGTCCCCGCGGGCGCAGTGGCCTTTCTCCTTGATCGCTGTGCCTTCCAGACCCAGATCATTTTCATTTTTCTCTCTTCACTTCTTTGATTCTGTTTTGCCATTTTACAAAAGTCCACTCTCAGTATCTCAGGTTCAGATACTGGGCTTTAGAATGAAGAGGTGTTGGTGGTATCTGTTTTCCATGGTAACTTTCTCTGGATGAAATGGGGTCTCTTGAAAGTTTAATTTCACTGAAGAAGGACAGGTTGAGCATCTTTTCCCATTCTCGCCTCTCAGGGATCCAAAGGCTTTTATTTAAAGATTCAGGTAATAACTATTTCAAGGCCTGACGTGTGGCCTCTGTCCCAAGTACTTACTGTGGCCTTTGTCACATGAATGCAGCCACAGAGAGTTGCCCTGGTCTGTCCTTGTCCATTGTGTTTACTGGGCTGATTTATTGAGTAGTAAGAGTCGTTTACAGTCTTTTCTTTTTTAAATCCTTTTTAAAGAATAGTTTATTGATTTTTAGAGAAAGAGGAAGGGCGAGAGAGAGAAATATCAATACAAGAGCACTATATAGATCAACTACCTCTTGCACGTCCCTCACCAGGGATAGAGCCCACAATCCTGGCATGTGCCCTTGACCAGGAATCTAACCAGCAGCCTCCTGATGCCCTGGACGATGCCCAATTAATTGAGCCACACTGAGTAGGGCTGAATTTTTATTTTAAAAACTTCCCCTTTGTATCTTCTGTTTCTTTGAGGTGTCATTGGCATGTTCGCTGCTCCTGTGGTTCCTTCTAGTTCAGCCTTCATTTTGCCTTCTTGCCTGAGCTCAGCCAGCCCCTTTCTAATGTCGTCTGATTCTGATTTTAGTTCATTCTGAAACCGTTGTGGTTTTTTCTGTTCTGGGTGTGGCTTTTGTTGTGCTCATATCATAACTTGTGTGGGGTTTGACCTCAGTACATCTCTATTGTTCATTGTCAAGTGAAGTCTGTTCTTAATTTCTAGAAGGAGCAGGGCAGACAGCTACTCGAACTTCAGATAAATATGGTGGCCTCCTTTGCCCTGGACCCCGCTTCATCTCTACGTAAATTTCTCTACAGAATGGCCCTGTTCTAGAAGGGACTAGGCAGGTCAGCCCCAAGGGGTCATGGGTGCACCAGCCCCTTCAGACCACAAAGGACACCTCCCACTCCACTCATTAGAAGAGACTGAATCCCCTCATACCAGCCCTGTTCCCTCGTTAGCCTACAAGGATTTCCCAGGAAAACGGGAACTTGGAGGTACTCTGTCCTCAGGTCAGCTTCCCCACTGCTGAGTGCTGCACCCACACAGACATGGAGACCATGCAGGGCCGTGACTGCCTTGTTAGGGGTCTTGAGGCTACCTTATCACCAAGTGCTATAATGTTGTCTGTGGGGTTCTGGTCTTGTCATCTAGTTAGTACACTTGGTGTCAACTAGTGTAGGGTTCTGAGCTCTGACCCATGCCACCACTGCCCTCTTCCCAGAGGCTCATCATGCCCTCTAGGGAGGTTTGGATGGGCACAGATTCTGAGTAAGGTTTTCTTTTCTTTCTTTCTTTCTTTTTTTTTTTTTTTTTTTTTTTTTTAATATATTTTATTGATTTTTTTTACAGAGAGGAGGAGAGAAGGATAGAGAGCTAGAAACGTCAATGAGAGAGAAACATCGACCAGCTGCCTCTTGCACACCCTCTACCAGGGATGTGCCCGTAACCAATGTACATGCCCTTGACCGGAATCGAACCTGGGACCTTTAAGTCCACATGCAGACCGACGCTCTACCGCTGAGCCAAATCGGTTTCAGCCTGAGTAAGGTTTTCATGTCCAAATGCAGGAGGACGCCCTCCATTGCTGGGATGATCATTGTGAGAGGGACCCACTGTCAGTGTTGGCATCCCTTTGCCCATTACCTTCCCACGCTGGCTTTCTCAGTGTCAGTCTTGTGGTTTGGCAGTGGCATGTCTACATGCGGAGTTATTTGTATCCTGGTTATCCTCGGTTTGGATTTAGGAGCCCATAAATAGTAAATTTCTCCCCTGACCCCTCCTGCTTTGAGAAGGAAACTCAGAGAGAGACAACACCCTATAGATGGAATATAGGCACATGCTCTGTCATTGCTGGACATGGGACCTGTGGCCACAGTGGGCTTCTAATCGCTGCCGGTTGCTTCTCCTGAAAGCCTCAGGCCCTCCCCTTGCCAGAGCTTGACGCCCTGTGGAAAAGAGGCCCTGAAGCCTACCTCTGTCATCACTCGCCCTCCACAAGGGTGGGTTCCTCAGGAATATCGCAGGGCAGATCCCCGCAGCTTTGGCCCCTAGGAGGGAGCCAGAACTGGGTCCTTGGGTAGATGTGGCTAAACGTGTTCACCCCTGTCTTTGAGTTCCTTACAAAAATAGATCTTTTTCTAAGCTATATTCTTTTTCTTGTGTCCCAGGTGCAGTTTAAACTCTAGAATTGTTTTAATATTCTAATTGTACAAATGAATTTCACTAACTAGTACTACTTATTTTCTTTATCAGGGCTTCAAACAAATGTGAAGATGCTCTCGGATGAAATTGTGGAATTGAAGCAGCACCTTGAACATTACGACAAGTTCCAGGAGCTCACACAGATGCTGCAGGAGAGCCACAGGTACGGGCGAGGATGGGAGTGGGGCGTGGAGCCGAGGCAAGGGAGGGTCCAGGAGCTCATACAGATTCTGCAGGAGAGCCATGGGCTGCGGGGGGCTGTGGAGCTGAGCAGTGGAGGGTGCAGGAGCAGCAGCTGCTGGTAGCCAGTGTTCTGGGCCCACATGTGTTGCTGTGCTGACTTGGCACTTCCATGAGCTTTTCTTTTGCTGCAGCATTCTGAGAGGTGAGGGGCATGTGAGTAATGGTGAGTGATGATGCGGGCGTGTGTTCCCTGAGAGGTGGGACTGAACTGAGACTAGATGGGGCTGCAGAAGGAAGGAAATGAGACACAGTCACGGTACAGGGAAGAGGCAGGAAGGCACGGTCACTCCCTGGAGCCCTATGGCCCATCTGTGGCAGGTCACAAGGTGTTGGCACCGTGGGATTAATGTGGACAAGGCAGGGTGCAGAGCCTGTAAGTGCAGTCGAGTGGGGTTCACAAGGAGGTGTCCACTCTGAGCCTCCGCCTGGTCAGTGGCTGTTTCTGTGGTCCAAGCAAACCCGTGCTTGTCAGTGGAGAGACCTATGGAGAAAATGGCCCTGTTTTCACCCATTTCTTATGATGCCCCAAATGTGCTTGAGTCATTGCTAACCAGGTGAGTAGGGAACTTTGACAAAACATACCAGCACTTTCTTTCTGAAGTCCCCTCTATAATTAAAAATGGTTAACAATATTTAAAAATGAGGTTTTTTCAATTGTATATTACATTGTTACAATGTCAGGATTTTTTAACGGGTCCTTTGTATTTGACTGGGAATTCGAAATACTTCAGTGTTGAGTCTTCCCTAGAATAGAACATTGTTTTGCTGGCCATAGACTGTGACAAGTCTTTTCAATAAACCATGCATGGCCAGAGCATTGAGGGATCCATTTATTCATGCTGAGGTGGATCCATTCCATGGATGCTGCCAGTGCTTGCAGGGCAGGTGATGGCTGAGGGTTTGAGTCAGACCTGGCCCCACCTGGTCTGGAGGCAAGGGGCAGATGGGTAGTTGCCAGGAGAGATCAGGAGGGGACAGGTCTGAGGGGACATGGCTGGGGCATGTGGGGTCAATAGCAGGCTTAGCCAGATGAGAGAGGATGCTGCTGGAGAGAACAGCAGCAGAGCTGGGACATGGCTGCCCTATGTTCTCTCCAGCTCCCTGGTCAGCACCAATGAGCACCTCCTGCAGGAGCTGGGCCAGGTGCGGGCTCAGCACAGGGCCGAGGTGGAGCAGCTGCACTGGAGCTACAAGGAGCTCAAGAAGACCATGGCCCTGTTCCCAGGCAGCAGCCCCCGCCTCAGTGGCTGCTCCAAAACCTGACCTTCCCAGTTGTATGGCGTGCACATGTGTTTTCTTTACCTGGCGTACTTGTTGATGAGAGTTGTTTCTCCTGTTTGCAGTTGTCTTGTGAGTTCTGAAATATATTCAGGGCCCACAGCTCACTTTGCTAAAATATTCTAAAAAAGACAGGATTAATCCAGGCCATTCACATGTTTTGAGACAAAACACACTGACATGTTTTAAGACAGATTGTTAATTTTTCATAAATGTCTTAAGATAAAGAAAATCTTGTGTTTTTCTGCCTAATGTCAAAGAGAACTATGTATGATGATTAAAGAAAAAAATTTATTGTATAATAAGCAGTTCTTATTTAATAAATGAATACATTGTTCTAAAAAGTGGCTCTTCATAAATTATCATTGAATTATTTTATAAAACAAGCTATGTACCATGGTTGGTGAGCAGGAAAAAGTAAGTTCCAGGACTTAATAGAAGTAATGTTTATAATGTGGGAAACATAAAAATAAAAATGTTTTGTGATATTAACATCCTACAGTAAAAATATCTACCCAAGTTTTGGTTCTCTTTTTGCTTACAGTGATTTTTGAAAATTAGGTCATAACGCAGCATAAAATTATATTTTTTTAGTTTGAAAACTTTATATCATTTAATATTCGCTTTCTTTAATAAAACAAAGTAATTTTTTAGAACAATGTTTAATTGAGGAAGAAGAACGGGCCTTGGAGAAGATGCTGTGTGTAGCTGTGTGGGCCAGGACTCTCTGGGGAAGTCAGAGGAGCATCAGGTCTCCCCCATAGAGGGGTCTCTGGGCTTCAGGTGTCCTTCCATTCACCTGTCTGTCTGGTCACGGTTGTGTCCAGAGCATCAGTTTTTATACTTAGCCAGGAAATGTATTATACCAAAAGTATGGGGGTGGAATTCCTTGTCATCAGATCATTTTTAGACTTATTTATTGTTAATGTGGTTAATTACAAAATTTCTCATGTAAAAATCACCTTAAATTTTTGGAGTAAGCACAACTTAGTAATGATGGGTTTTCTTTTACAGATACATTGTTATATTTAGTTTGTTAATATTTTCTTTAAGATCTTATACACCATTTAATGTTTAACTTTGGGTAATTTAAATTCTCTGTTCCTTGATTTCCTCATTTGTAAAATGGGGTAACACTGGTGCCTGCCTTATAGGTTGCTGTGAAGATTAAATGATTTATAATAAATGTTCTAGGACAGTACTGACACATAATAAGCATGATGTAATCATTTGTGTGGTGGGCCACTCTGGTCCTTCCTATCCCTCGTGACCTTGCCAGCTATGTCACAAGATCAGGAAGCCTGTTTCTCTTCTGCTGAAGAGACCTCTGCTTGACCTCGGCTGGACTCTTGTGAATGAGAAATAACTTTTGTTGTGTCTAGTCACTAAGATTCGGGAGGTTTTCCACTATAGTTTGTAGTTATTTACCTTACATCATAGAACTATGCAGGCTTTCCATTTCTTTTTCAGTTGGTTTTCATAAATTATGAATCTCTAGAAATTTGTTTTCAAAATAACTTTCAAAATTTTTGGCATAATACTCAGTTTTTTAATATCGTTTTAATAGCTTCAGCATTTGAATTTGTGTCCCAATGGCAGAGATGTAGAGGCAGTTGTGTCCCTTCAAGTAAGACCTTGTTGTGCCTATAAGAGATGACTGCCAACTGCTGGTGGCCTGGGCTCTGTGGGCCTGGCCCTCCTGCCATGGGGATCACCTCAAACAGGCTGTCTCCAGAGAGAGACCTTGTTGGGCTGGCGAGACTTTGTCAAGTCTTCATTGTGGCCTGGAGGATTCCCTGCTCTTGTGTCCTCTCAGTAAGATGCCAACTGCTCAGCATCTGCTTCCTGTGCCCAACGCCCACTCCGCTCGGTCATCGTCTCCTTGGTTGTTTGAATTTTTTCTCTTCATTAATCCACCAGAAGTTGGTTGAGTTGACCAGTCCTGTCAAAGAACCTACCTTGGTCTTCATTTCATTTTCATTTTCTGCTCTTCCCTTTCCTTTTTAGCCATGCTGAAATAAATGATACACTTGGCTTAAAAGCATTATTCTATCCATTTTCCTGTTCTGTGATTCTATTGCTTTATCCTCTAATGGAATTGATATATTTTAGTTTAAATCTGCTGTATCATTTTGTGCTATTCAGTGCCTTCTGTCAGTTTTTCCCTTGCCACTGTTGCTGTTTTTAGATTTTTATCATTTAGCATTTCACCTCTACTAGTTTGCAAGCCACGCATGCTTCTGTTGTATTTTTACATGTTCATATTTATTTAATCAGCTCTTTCATGTGCATTTGCTATCATACAGCAGCTATGATCATGGGCCCCCTCGAGGATTCCTTCTGGCTCACATGCGATGCTCTTTAGCCATTTTAATGAAATATTGTTAATCCCACAGAGAATATTTATATAATTAGTCACTATGTATTTGTAGTTATTTACTATTTATTCTTTATTTCACTTTCCTTCCTCACATCTCAGACATTACATCTGCAATCACTTTCCTTTTGCATTTGTAGTTTCTATACATGTCTATTGGAGGAAGTTCCCTGTTATAATCTAATAATGCCTTTATTTTATCTTTATTTTTTGAAAACTATTCTCTGGGCTGGGATTTCAGATTGGCAGTTATTTGATGATGGCCTTTCTGTTGGGGCTGCAGAGTTGCTTGTAATGTAGTTTGTGTCCTGTACCCCTGGATTTAGACACACACAGCCCCCTCTCCCCCACTCCTCCACTCCTCCAGGGCTGCAGTAGATCTCGACCAGGCCTCTGACATAGCATGGGGTTGGGTCAATGGTCACCTAAGTGAGGAGTGAAAGACTCTCTCTTGGGTGAGAGACAGGAGGCTCTCTGCCCTGGAAGTCCTGGCTCTGCAACCCCACCCAGGAACCCCTCCCGGGGCCTGTTCCATGTTAGATGTTGGCACCCATGTTATTGCCTGTCCAGACCATACACTTTGAGGATAAGAGATCCACCATTTAACACTTTATTTATCACTTTTGACAACAATGTTAACAACAGCGAACACATGAGGAGCGTTGTGCGGACAGACATTAGCTGTTTCACTAAAGGTTTGCAGGCCAGGCCTTGACAGCACCCCCATAGCGGCTCTGAGCCTCACACTCTGAGTGGGGGGGGAGCGGGGCCCTTCCAACCCCAGGGATGTTGCTGCTGAATGTCATTTAGACTGTCTAAGTCAGAACACCCATGACATTGACGTTACTGTACCCATCACTCTGATACAGTGATACACTCAGTACTCCCTAACAATAAGGTGGTGTAAAAATATATTGCATGTACATATAAATTTTATTTCCCTTTCCTGAAAATCTTAGTACAAACTAGTATATGATCACTTTCAAGTTTATTTTAAGTTGTGCAAGTTTTCTTTGTTTGGCTTGGTTTGGTTTTTCAAAAGTCTAAAGGAAGAGAGAGGGTTAACTAAAGCATCTCCAAGCACAGCGACCACTGCCTGGCACGCCACCACACTGGCCATGCTCTCCACGTGCCCACAGACGAAGGCAGGCCCCGGAACCACCAGGTTTCATAAAGCGTTTAGTGGTAAATCAGTGGAAGGAAACTACTCAGGGTGATAATTTCACAGTACAGCTAAATTGTCAACCTGTACTGTATCGAACAGGTGACAACTGAGCACCCCCATAGGGTGTGTGCTGCAGGACAGGGGGCAGCCAGCTTGTGTGTAAATACCCAGGAGGGAATGAGCACAAGCGGGTCCTTAAGGGCTCACCTGGCAAGGGCCAGATGGTGAATAGTTTAGGTTTCATGGATCATGGCATCTGTAACAACCCCTGCAAATGCCAATGTCGCTGCAAAAGCAGCCACAGACAGTATATAAGCACACGGGCGTGGCCTGTGCCATTAAAACTATTCACAGAAATGGGCGATTGTACTGGCCCAGGGTGTCGGTGAGCCTCTGCCTGCTGCCATAGTCTCCGTCCACTCAGACGGTCAGACGGCTACTGGCCTGCCCGGAGCTCTCAGCCACTGGGACACAGCGGTGAGGAACAGACAGGCAGCCAGCCGCGCCAGTGGAAGGGTCAGCATCCGCTATAATTTTCATCTGTCTCAAAACTCAAGCCCGAGAATATTAAAGGTGTAAAAATACTCCAGTATAAATATATATCTTACTATAATATTTTAAAATTATGTAATTTGAACTTCAGTTTTGGTAAAGCTAACTCTATTCCTGACTACTGCCCAGTTGTGTTAAATAGAAATAAATAAATATTCTGGTATAATCGGTGTTCTCAAATACACTCCTACTGTTCTCTGCTGATGTTCGGACACCGTCACACTGACCCCTCTCTCCTCCCCAAATGCATCCCGAGGGTCCTCCCTTGGAATGCATCCCGTATCCCGGGTGTCCTCCCTCGGACACGGCCTGTCTCCGGGGGTGCCTGCTGTGCAGTTTCTTCTGTTCACAGATAGACGTTTAATTTCTATGTGACCATGGTTAGAAGCTGACTGGCATTGCATAAAAACATGCAGCACAGACACACACTGCCTACGTAGTCACAATACTCAGAACCCGGTGGAGGGGCATGCACGTGTGTCAGTTTTGTGCAGTGAAGTCAGAGTTGAGAGGCTACACACAGACGCAATGATGCATTCACCAGGTGATTAAAGGGGCAGGACGGTGAATACTGAGTCCGCATGACCTAGCCCTTCTTCCTCCTCCTCTGACAGAGAGGGGAGGGTGGATTTCCAAAGCTCTACTTTGACTGGAGAACCATGAGTTGGCTGGGTGATGGCAGTGCCTGTGTAGCCGGCGGGACGTGGAGCTGTGGACGGACTCCCGGCCCGGGCGTGTGGGGAGTCGGGCCCAGGGTGTGGGGCTCTCCCCTGCGTTTGGGTGGGCGGGGACAGGGAGGCCACCGACAGGGAGCAGCTGTGTGCACTTGATTTCATTCAGAAAACCAAAAAAAAAAGCTACTGCTATCTGGATCAGCAGAGCCTTCTGACATTTTCCTCAGATGTGCGCCAAGGGTTTCCTATCGAGTAGCTCACCTCCACCAGCCTGAAGGGGTGGGCTGGGTGCTCCGCTGCCAGGGCTGCCAGGTAGGGCCGTGGGGGTCCAGTTCTGAGGCGGCACCATGGGAGAAAGCGCGGGCTGCCACGGGGTCAGAGGACACACGCACGTTGTTTCTTTGCTTAGACCCCATTTCCCAGGGTGCTCCGGCAGGCTGGCCCTACATGGGGGCTGGAACCTTCGTGTGGAGGCTGTTCTTGCCTGAAGGCAATGCTCTGGGACAAGAGACCTGGTTCCAGGCACCTCTCTCCAGAGTCCAGCAGGCAAGGAAGGGCTGAGAAGGGCCTGCTTCCAGGGCAGGCCCAGGTGACATCTGTCTCTGTGGGCTGTGGCGTGGGGAGCCTTCGCCAGTGAGCGTGCTATAGTGGCCGAGGTCCTGCCGATTCCAGTGTCTGTGACGAGGGGAACGGGGCTGTTCGGGGGCAGGAGACCACAGCATTCCCCCGTGGCAGTGCCGCCAGGCATGGGGAGAAATGTGGCCACAGAGAAAAACCTCGCCAGCATTGGACACGAGGGCCGTGGTTTGTGATCAGCTTATTGTCAAGAAACACTGCACGTTCGGTTGTCTTCAGACACGTTTTCCACAGGTTACTCTTGCCTTTGGGTTTCCCCTAAAGGTCCAGCCTCGGGGAGGGGAGAGGCACCGGGTGGGGACTGGCATCCCGCCTGCCTTTGCCCAGCCTCTGGTCCTCAGCTTCCTCACTGCGAGTAGCCTCGCCGGGCAGCTGAGGATCCCCAAGTTAGGAACTTTCGAGAGAATGGTGAGATTAGCCCTAGAAGTGGCCCTCGGAGCCTGCGCTCCAATGCCACACGCCGCGAGCTCCCAGGACCTCCAAACGAAGCTGTGCACAGAGGCGGACAGGGGGATGGTGAAGGGAGGCCAGCGTGCAAGGGGCCTGGTGGAGACACAGCCCCAGCGGTGACCAGCCCGTGTGCTGTGGCAGTGCTGGTCCCAGCTTCAGCCACCCGTGCTAGGCCAGGCCGTGCTACCAGGAAGGGGTGCAGAGGAGACACCGGCTGTGGCAGCCGGGCTCCAGGAAGCATTTTCTGAGACTGCCGTGGCTTTTCCCAGGACTGGCTCCAGGACCAGGTGACACACCAGGCTGTGGCTGCACTTCTGCAAATGAGTGTTGCCTTCTGGCCACTGTGAAAGCAAGCGCCCACCAACCCCAGCATATGTGTGTGCCTCTGTTGGAGGCCCTCTCTGGCCTGGTCTTATGCAGTTCCCTGCACTCCCAGGCTGGGAGAGTTCAGAATTAACTGCAGAGGCTGGAGCCGCAGAGGTTTGTGCTGCACTGTGAGCAAAGGGGGTAGCCACGGTGACGGCAGCCTCGAGGCCCTGATTTCAGAACAGGGACGGGCAGAAGATGCCCATCACACACCTGTCTGTGAGAGAGCCTCAGGCCCAACAGGGTCCCGTGACCTGGAGACACAGGGACAATAGGGAGAGAGTTATTCTGAATCTTCCCTGATCCACTCTGGGAATAAACACACAGCCACTGTTTCTTCTGAATTCTCCTTTTCTTCAAAAAGCAGAATGAAATGACCTGTGCTTAGTTTCCATTTTAAAAACTTCTAACTTCACACTTCAGATCACGTTCCTTTGGTCTTCTGAGGAGCATTCTTTCACCGGCTCACCTTCCTTTGCCCACCAGCCTTCGCTCACATGACCGTCCTCGGCACAGACCTGGTCCGTGGGCGTGCGTGTAAGCATGTGTGTGTGAGTGGATGTGTGGGTGCATGGGCATGTGTAAGCGCGTGTCCATGAGTGCATGAGCCTGTGTGTGCGTGTGTAAGCATGCACCTGTGTGTCGCACATCTGAATGGAGCCTTCACAGACGTCCCTGTGTCTTGTCCGAGGTTCACTTCATCTCCCCAGTGCTGCTGGTTAGTGCATTAGTGCCTGTTGCCCTCGGGGTTCCTGGGCTGGTCTGCTGGTCAGGAGGTCAGCATCACCTTTGGCAGGGTCTGTCCCACCTGCTCCTTTAAAACACCCCTTTCACCTGAAACCCGTGGCCTGTGTGGTCTGGATCCAGGAAACACGTTGGAAATGACTATCTGTTGACTTCCCAACATGGGATGAGGCAGGTGCATTAGAGGAAGGTCAGAGAGTTCAGGGGCCGCACCTGGGGTAGGAGAGGAGCATGCCGGGGCTCCAGGCAGGAGGAGGTCTGGGGTCACCCCCGGCCCCTCCACCCCAGCATCTGAGTTCTGCCCCAGGGAGCCCAGGAATGTAAAGAAGTGTGAGGTGATGTGGGGCCAGCCAAGGAGGAAGGCCCTATCCCCCCGGAGGGACTGGCTACTTGCCCCCCTGCACCTTCTGGTCGTAGGTGCCTGCGTGCTTGTAGCCTGGCACGTAGCCCGACTCGTCCACCAGGTCCACGCGGCCGGCCTTGCCCTTGCCCCTGCCTGATGGGTCGAAGCGCTCCTTGTGGGAGCCGGTGAACTTGGTGGTGTCCGTGAGCCGCGACACAGTGGGCGAGGAGATGGCTTTCTGCGGGAGAGCAGGGAGGGAGATTAACAGTCATCGAACCATAGGAGAAAGAAGGGGCTTGTCCCGGGGAGCCGGAGAGGGAACCAAAGGGGCTAGGCCCAAGCAGGAGGGGTACTGGCGCTCCTGGAATCCACTCTCCACTTAACCCAGGGAGGAGGCCTGGGCCGGCCCACACCTGGAGATTAAGGCTCTCACCCTGTCTTTAGGCCACGACCACCTGTCCCCTCCACTTCATGGAACCCATTTCCCGAGGGACCCGCCCAGCAGCCCCGCTCACCGTCACTCCGGAGATGATGGGGGCCTTGCCCTCAATGAGCCTGTGCACCTCCCTTACGGCCTCCTCGCTGCTCTTGTCCTTGAACTTCTTCTTGGAGAGCTCCTCCAGCGCCTCCTTGAACTGCTCGAACGTGATGGTCCGACAGGATTTGCCCCTGCAGGAGAAGGAACGTGTGCACCGGACCCAGGACCCAGTGACATTGGGGAACCCTAACCCTGCCTGGGCACCCACTGACATCGGGGGACCCCAGCCCTGCCTCTTGCCCACACCAGAAGCGAGTCTAACATTAAAACACAGAGCATGCCCCTCCCCCTGCAGTGTTTTCACCCAACAGTCAGTCACCATTGGCAACTGCAGCAAATATAAATTGTCTTGGAAAAAAGCTTAATGGAAGCACATCCTTTATGAACAACTGGACATTAAAACAGAGCTGTTGTCTGCTTCTAAATGGGGCATGTGTGTGGCCTCCACTTGGGAGGACTTTCAAAGAAAAGTCAGATCCGAACCACAGGGAAGAGACCTTGGTCCTGGTTGGCAGGCAGTCTGTGGGCCATGGTTACCACCCAGGGACAAGAGTGGGGGACTCCCAGGATACCCAGCAAGGTGTGCCCAGGGCGTGCACATGAGGCCCACCAGCCCAGAGGCCGCACAGCCTGACAAGTGCCAGTCCAGATGCACAGCACAGGGGGAGCCACGAGACTGGGCAGAGGCCGCGTGCAACCCTTCATCCAGACCTACCAATGGCAGCACAGAGGTTCCCACGGGAGGTCAGTCCTGCAATTTTGAAATGCTCTAAACTGGCTTTTCACCTTTTATAATTTTAACTAAAAAAAAGCGTTTTTGCCAGTTTGGCTCTTCCCCAGTTCAAAATGTTTTCCACAAAAGAGCAAAGGCTACTCAATGGAGCCAGGATCATCTTTCACCAACAACAGGACAGCCAAATAAAGTAATGAGCTTCAACCTGTGCCTCTCACCATATACCAAGGCTAACTCAAAGTTGTCAGTCTAACTTTATTATAAAACCTAAAACTATAGCACTTCTGAAACAACATATAAGAAAATTCTTACGACCTTGGTTAGAGATGTCTTAGAAATGATTCCAGAAAACAGTCCATCCAAAAGAAAGATGGCTTATAACTGTTTTCTTCAAAAGACACTGCAATGCAAAGACAAGCCACAGACTGGGAGAAAAGACTCGCAAAGCATGTCTGATAAAGGACTGTACTGGAAATACATGAAGAACTCTGAAAACTCAAGAAGAAGAAATCCAGTGTAAGCAATTGGACAAGATATTCGAATCAAGACACTTCACCAAGATCTGTGGGTGGCAAACAAGCACACGGAGAGACTGCACGTCGTCAGTTCCCGCGGAGACGGCGCACACCACAGGTGGCCCCAGTGACTAGAGGACTGGGAAGACAGCCCCATTGCTGGGGAGATGCGGGCTCGGGCTCCGACGCAGCCGGTGGGCACACAGCGTGGCGGCCACTGTGGAAAGCTGTCTGGCAGTTTCTTAAAAGTCGCACCTGTGGCATGACCCCAAGACCCACTCCTGAGTCTCACGCAAGAGCAATGAAGATAAGCTCACGCATTATTGCTCACAATTCTGCTCATGGTCACCAAGACCCAGAAACAGCCCCTGTCCTTCAGCAGTGGACGGACCAGCATGCCCCAGCAAGCACAGAGGTTCCCTCCCATGTTACACGTGTATCTGAAGAGGGCCATGCTGATCGACAGGCCCAGGAGCAGGAGACTGCTGATTGGAGGTTGCAGCCCAACCTCACCCCTCAGGGAGGCCATTCGGCAGGAGGGATGGGCCCTCTGGCACATTCAGAACCGTCTGTCCCAAGAGCCTTGGCAAGGACAGGACCACAGGGCAGGGGCTTAGACCAACAGTGTTTGGTGGTGGGTTCTGCCCTTCAGACAACATCCACAAATGCATGAAGTCTGTGGGCCTGGAGGGTCATTCCAGGGAAGCCGCCCTCAGCCTTGGGTGCCTGGAATGGTGCAAACACAGCCTCTTGTCTTCCTCCTGACCCTGCTGGAGGGTAACCTCTGGGGCCCGAGAAGGCCTGTTTGTCCTCGGCTGTCACAGGCGCTCCTGTCTCCTATTCACTGCCTGCCCAGGCTGGCAAGTGGACACCAAGCCCGACGGCTGGCCCGGTGACCAGTCGCTAGAGCGCACAGCCCTTTCTGGGCATTGCGGCACCAGGCGCCACCAGGGTGAGTCACTCCGGCCAGGGTTGGGGGTGGCCCACAGGGACTCCCGTCAAAGGGCGCATTCAGATTGGGCTGGACACACAGGTCCAGGGCCCTGACTTGCCCGCTCCACCTGGCCGGGCCAGGTGTCCCCCAGGATCCCACTGTGGCTGATGGGTGGATCTCAGAGCTCTCCCCAGGGGAGCTGCTGCCCTACTGCTGAGAGAGTCCCCAGGGAGTTCTGCCGTGACAATGGCGGCGCTTCCCCGGGGACAGGATCACATCACGCTGCAGTCCTCACAGAGCGAGCCTGTTCCCAAGTGCACATGGCGGTGTCCCCACAGCCCTCCACCCCCTCCGCCCTGCTCAGAGGCTGTTGTTCTGCTGGAAAGCCAGACACAAGGCCCCTGCGTCCCCTGGGCCTCCCGGCCCAACTCAGGGCAAGCAGGGAGGGGCTGGGTGGGCTGCTCCTGAAGGCCACCCAGGGACACTTGGGCCAATCCATTCCTTCCAGAACAGACCAGAACTGTGTGTCTCCAGGGCCAACACCCAGGATGTACCCAGGATGGAACACCCACCATGACCCCTGTGCCCTCCTTGCCAGCACCTTCAAGTATCAGAGCGAACTGCACTCTCCCAGGCCCCTCTCTGAGGGCCAGCGTCCAGACTACTGAGCCATTGGGGGCGGAGGGATGGGAGTGCCGGAGAAAGCGCTGGTTCTCCCAGGCTCCCCTGACCAGCAGCAGCTGGGACCTGGTGACCTGTCCAGAGAGCAGCCAGGATGCCACTGTGGCCAGAGCATGGCCATATCAGCTCTCCGTGACACCCCATCCCACCCCACCCCACACTTCAATGGGCTCAGCCTGCTCCAGGCTCTGGACACCACTGGATGGCCTCTAGGTCCCAGGCCTATGCTTTTATGCTGAGCCTCTGGGGTGCACACCCATGGCCCAGGAGCCCCTGCTTCAGACAATTTCCGTGTGTCCTGGCTTTGACTGTAGCATGTGTGGCAAGAATGGAGCAGCTTTCCAAGTCTTCAGTGACCGGGAGCCCCGCCCACCTGCTTCCTTCTAACCTGAGCCCCAGATGCCAGACACGGGTTGAGCTGTGTCCCTGCACCAGTGTCACGAGAAACGTTGTTTCTTCTGCACACACAGCATCCACTAGCCAAGCGTGTGCATGGGTCAGGAGAGGCTGCAGCAGAGACATCACCCTCCTCTGCCCCCTTGGTCTGTCCTCTCCACTTGCAGGGAGGCAACTGCATGCCTGACCCCACACATGCAGACAGGATGGAAGGGGATGGTGCCGTCCATGCCCCCCCAAATGAGACTGTCAGGGTGACCCTCCTGCTTGTGCATATGCTTGTGCATAATTAATCTTTCAGACTGACCATCATCTGTCCTTTGGGGCGTGGAGGATGTCAGAGTCTTTGTCTAGGTAACAATAGTCTTCCATCTAGACCTGGTATAGAGCTGCAAGAAATTTGTTTAAAATTTAACACATAGTAACATCAAAACAAACAGGCACTGCCATGGCGACAGGACCTAAACAAAGGCTGCAGATACCCTGGCTGGCGTCACCGCCCAGAGCCCTGGCAACCACCCCCAAACAGAACTGCTCTTCTCTACCAAGTCAGCAACTTTGAGGTCTCAGCCCGTCCAGCAGGATCCTGTGACCCTACCCAGGGCACTGTGCACCCTGGCTGTCCCTCCCACTGTAACCTGTGGTACCCAGCAAGCCACCCAGGCAGGGGATTCCCTGTTCCCTTGTAGGGGCCCCTGTAGCCACCACAAACTGGACTTCACTGTGGAGTGACTATAATCCCTCACTGGGCTGGGCCACAGTTACCCGTTCTCCCATTCCATGTCCCCCAAAGTGGCCTGAGGCAGAGACACCAGGGGACCACAAACAGTCCTGGCCTCTGCAATGGGGGGCCCTTTGGCAGAGGTTCACCCTCAGCCCTGAGTCTAAGCAACTGACATCCTGCCTCCCAGGATAGGCATGGGGAGCAGATGGTGCCCACTCGCTTCTTGAGGCCATTGCCCCTCATTCGGGTAATGGAGTGCACATGCCTCCTGCACACAGGGTTTCTGGGCTTGTCCAGGGCAGCTGTCTTCTGATTGAACCACCACCACACTTGCCACCTCCCTCCCTTCAAGGTATTGTACGTGTGTGTTTGCCTATGAGCTCATGTGCACAGGCAGGTCTGTATATGCATGTGTGAGCTCCTGTGTGCACATGTGTGTACATACCTGCATGCAATAGCTTAAAGGCAACTTACTGCAGAAGGAATTAAGAACGAGGAAAGAATTGTCCCCACCTGCCCCAACACTTTGCATGTCTGGGCCAGTGCCAAGGGTGTGGAACCTGTGGCACTCCTTGGTGGGTGACCTGTCTGTCCCTGGACACAGCACTTATCTCACCTGCCTCCAGCCCTTCTGTAACATTCCCCAGGGGGCCGCGGGCAGGGCCTAGCGAGATGCAGGTCAGACCTAGGGGACAGGCTTCAGAACAGCACCTCTCAAGCTCAGCCCACAGTGGGCCAGGAACTCTACCCCTGAGATCCCTCCAAGCTCCGGAGTACAGGGCAGTGCCTCCTCCCCGGGTCCCAGCAACCCCAAGGCAGCCTGCTCTGGTTCCAATCCCTGGGCATCTGATTCTGGGAAGAGAAGGATCTCGAAGCATCACACTTCCTCATAGCCCTGTAAGATACAAAATCCACCAGCGGACCCCGGATTGCGGCCTGGCTGACCACAGGCCTCCGGGAAGCTGGCTCTGCAGTGAGAGAGCCCAGCTCACTTACTTGATTTTGCTGAAGACGATGTCCACGTCGGTGACAGTCACGTTCTTCCCGTCGATCACCTGGCAGTCCTTGCACAGTTTCGACCAGTTCTTGCCGTGCATCTCCTTCCCGGTGGCTCTGGTGTCCCCATGCACCGCAAACCGCCGGAAGGCCTCCTCCAGGGCGCTGAGCTCCTGAGCCGAGGCGGCCGCCCCCTCGTTGGCACCTTCTGACTCCAGTGACAGCCTCTTGGCTGCTTTGTCCTTTGCAGGGTCCCCTGGGGATTTGGGGGGTGTCTTGTTGGCAGCCTTAGAGGCTTTTGCCTTGCTGTCGGCCATGTTTCTGGTGGAAAAAGGAGAGAAGGAAGGGGTTATTCTGTTCTTCGGAGCCGCCGCCCAAGGCTCCTCCAGCTCCCTCACAGGACGGGGCCTGGCAGGCCCCTGGATGGAGCAGGGCCCCTGGGGCACCTTGGAGCCGAGCCCTGGGCATGAGGGGGCAGAACCCCTGCCCAGGGGCCACAGCAGGATGGTGAGCACGTGTCCTGCTGCTGGACACGACACTGCCCCTCAGGCACCAGCACCCTGCCGGCCATTGCCGGGGTAAGAACCCGCCCCAACTAGTCAAAGCCAGCAGCAACTGGCAGGGCCATGGGCAGTGCACCCAGCTCAGACACCTGGGGCTCAGGGCCCCTTCCTTGTCACTCCCCCATCAGGGTCTCTTCCCTGGGCCACACCTGCTGGGTGACTCCCCAGAAAGACATTTTTCCCGGGGACGCCATCCTTGGGGAGGGGGTATCCAGAATCGGCTGCTCCCCTCACCTTAGGGCTGAGCCTGCTGCCTTCCTGCGAGTGGGAGAGGGAGACCTCAGGGTGTCAGCCAGGCAAGGGGCGGGGGAGGGGGAGTTGCATGCACTGGGGGAAGGCCACCACTGAGGGCCCCCTGTGGGGAGGTGGGGAGCCCACCCTGACCTGCCCGTGAGGCTCTGCCTCTGTGAGGTGCCAGATCCCCACAGCCGGGCGGGGTCCCCAGGGGCTCAGAAGATAGGAGCCCGTGCTGCCTCCAGCGGGTTTCAGGAGCACAGAACAGGATGCAGCCATGCAGCCTCCCCCTGCAGCAGGCTGTGGCTGGGGCAAGACCCCGAGATGCCCAGCCACATGTAAGATCCCCCTGGGTCCCTGAGGAGTGGCTCAGCTCTGTCTGCCCCGCTGAGGAAGGACATGGCCGGGGCTCCATAAGAGGACAGAAGCCGGGATCCACTGGCGCACAACACACAGTCCGGGGCAGTCTGTGTAAGCTTGCTCACAACTCTGCCATTCGCTGAACATCCCCTTCCATCTGTCTTCTCAACACCCGTTAGAACAGAGGAAGATGGGCGACTGCCATTGTGGGGGGTCCTGATGGCCCTGCTGAACTCAAGATCCTATAAGTTTCCAACAGGAAGAAATCAAATGCCCTCCACCACTGGACTGGATGTTCTCAGGGTCCTTGGGGACTGTGGACCCACACTGCCCCCGTCCCTATCCTCCGCGATGGCGCAAAAAGTGCACCTGCTGCTGAGAGAAATCCTGGACACCCGGTGATGGAGCACAGCGGGCTCTGGGTGTGAGTGAGAGTTGGACAGCACTTCCGGCTTCCCACAGGGTCAGGGGCGGGACCAGGAGCGCTGTCCCTCCAAGGAATCGGTGCCGGGATGAGGAGTCAGGTGGCGGCAGAAGGCTCCCAGATTTATTGCTGACAGTACTCCTGTCTGAAACAGGAGCTTCCTGAGGGGTCGGCTGAGCATCTCTTCAGCACTCGGTGCCCAGGAGGGAAACGTGGCTCAGCGGTCACTAGACACGTGCGTTGACTGGTGGGAATGTGCACGTGCGTTCCACTTGGTCAAAGAGGAGGAAACCTCCTGTGATGCTTCCAGCCCAGTGCACGGTCCAGGAAGCATCGTATCGTGAGAAGAAAGCTCGCCAAGTATGTTGGAGGGAGCTGGCTCTGGTGTTGGAATGATGGGCCATTCTTCGTGAGTTTTTCTGTATTTTGCAGCATCCTAGCAGCACTATTTTATAGCAAGAACCTCCCCAAAGTGCCCGCCCCCCACACCCCACTTAGTGTCTGGGTCTGAGCCAGCCCCCCAGGGAACCAACAACAAAGCCCCCCTGACAAGCCACGAGTGGCGGGACCAGGCACCCCACCAATGACAAGGACAAAACGAATCTCTGTGAAGTGCTCTGAGCACATGCTGACAGATACATTGATTCTGGCATGCAGAGTGGGCTCTCCGAGAGCCTCAGCCCCCAGGGACCCCTAGAATAAAGGACAGCAGGGACAGCCGGGACGGGGATAAACACCAACCTGCTAAGGCACCACACATTGCTCAGCCACCTACTCGTGCTGGGCACAGGGCTTTGTTGAGTCCATTAAAAAGTGAGAAGGAGCCCTGACTGGTTTGGCTCAGTGGATAGAGCATCGGCCTGTGGACTGAAGGGTACCGGGTTCTATTCCAGTCAAGGGCATGGAATTCCTTAGTTGTGGGCACATCTCCAGTGGGAGGTGTGCAGGAGGCAGCTGATCAATGTTTCTGACCCCCTATCCTTCTCCCTATCTGTAAAAAAGTCAATAAAATATATTTTAAAAAAATAAAAAGTGAGAAGGACTGAAGAAGATGTGAAAAAGTTCTGTTGTCATAGCTTTACTTTCCAGCTGGATACGGGCAATAAAGAGGTAGACACATATAAATGGTGTGACATCAGGTGGTGAGCAGTGCCCGGAGGAGAATGAGGGCAGGTCAGAGGGCGATGGTGCGTGTGATTTTAGATGAATTGGAGGAGGAGCCTGAGTGGAGACTGGAACGGCAGGAAGGCGCCAGCATGTGGCTGCTATGCATGAACCGTCTGCCACCAATGCTGCCTGAATCCCACTGGACAGGTAGGGTTCCTCCCAGACTGAAAACCCCGGTCTCCCTCTGCCGCCCTGGGCACGGGAAGAGAGCGGCCCATGCTTTAAAGGTGCCTTTCCAGACCACGGCCCTCGGGGTGCGGGCCCAGACGGCTGCGGACGGAGGAGCTGGGGGCTCTGCCACACTTGTCAAGCCAGCTGTTGGTGGCTGTCGGCATGGTGAGAATCCACGGCTAACCCAGGTTGAGCAGGCAGCAGAAATGAGCAGGAGACTATCAGACAGAAGCCTCTAACCTCAGCCCTGGGGGTGGCAGGCCCAGGGCCTTTCTCACCAGGTGGCTGGCAGCTTCAACCTGCCATACCTTTCCCCGGAGCTGTGGCCACCAGTGCCGTTTTAGGGCTGTGTCTGTGTGTGTTGATGGGTTGTCACTTCAAATCAGCTCACAACCGTCTGCAGGGATGGCCCTGGAGCAATGACTCAGATGGGAGGTGGGTGAAGCAGGGCATCTCCCCTCCCCCACCACGCCCTCACCCTCGCCAGCCACTAGGTCTGTGACCTTGAAGCTGCAAAGGTAACTCGGCCACAAGACCCAGAACACAGCTCTCTGTTCTGGGTTTCCGCTGTGTTTTATGATGAAAATGCATGATCATAATAAAATATTTTAACAATCACTTTAACAGAAACAACAGGAGTGAGATCCTATGTACGGTGCGGGAAGATCTCCAAGACTACTGTTTGTTGAGTGGGGACGTGGGACATGGGCAGCAGAAATCACGCGCCTCACTCCGGGAAAGCAGACAACGGGGACGAGAGAGAGAGAGAGAGAGAGAGAGAGAGAGAGAGAGAGAGAGAGAGAAATAGAGAGAGAGAGAGAGAGAGAGAGAAGTATCCAAGCGAGAGAGAGAGAGAGAGAGAGAGAGAGAGAAGTATCCAAGCTGCTAGGAAGACTGAGGGCGGCGCCCTCTGTTGTTTGGATCGCCCCAGCAAATCCATGTGCTGGTTCCATACTGACGTACTCATAATAAATTTAATTTTAAAAGAAGCCGAGGGCTCCACCAGAGGTCTACTGGGATGAAGGGGGGGCCAGAGAGCCCCTCTGTACCAGCGATGACAGCCTGCACGCAGGGGCCTCCCTCCAAGGGCCAGCCTCCAGCCCGCTACCTACCTGGCTCCTCTCCTACACCCCTCCCACCCCTCACCCCGGAAGGCTGGGGTACCCCTCTGCTTTCCTGCACCAATGGTTTCTGGGGAGTGAGGTGAGTCTGAACCTAGGGTGGCCTTCCGTGACCATTCCCACCTGTGCCACCCGCTTTCCACATAACGAAAACTAAAATCACTTAGAGAAGAGGCTGCCAGGAGGTCAAAATGCCAACCCATTGAGTGAAGTGTTCTTTGAGGTGTGGCCTGTGTTCTCAGGTATGTTCCGTGTTTCCAGGTGTGTACTCTGCACCCCCAGGCGAGTGTCCTGCATCTCCGGGTGTGTGTCCTGTATACCCAGGTGTGTGCCCAGGTGTGTGTCCTGTGTTGCCAGATGTGTGTCCTGCATTACCAGGGCAGCGGACCTTCCCTGGCCAATATTCCCCTTAGGGGCACAAGGCAATGTATGGCAGAAGTGGAGACTGATGAAGTGTGATCAGGTATCACTCCGACTGGCCACAGACATGGCAGCCTGGATGCCCAGTAGGCTCTGTTCCTGCTTCTTCACCGTAAGGATTTTTCAACAGCTCAGGAAAGCCCCAGTGAATCAAGTTCTGATTTATCTCATAGTCTGTGGCCCCTGGCACCAGGTGAAAACCCAGCCTCTCTCCTGGGCCTCTCTCAGCTGCTTCCCTGGAAAGACCCCTCCGCAGCCCTGGGCTCTGATGGTGTCAGAGAGGATGGCGAGGGGCAGGGAGAAGAGTAGGTGGGAGGCTGGTGAGGTGTGGGGAGACAGTACGTCCAGTTCTGGGGGAGCCGTTAGCCTCCACCAGGTCCTGCTTGAGGCGGGGCAGGCTCTGTCCTAGAAGGGTCAGGAGGGAACTGATACACCGGCCGTGGGGCAGACTGTGTTACCGAATTTGCATTTTTAAAGGAGGCTTAGAGAGGGCAGGGCATCAAAAGGTGGAATTACAGACCAGGGCAGCATGAGATACAGGGGCAGGCGCTGGGTCCCCAGAAGGCAGCCACCCGGGAAATAGTCAAACAAAAGCTCCTGGCCAGGTGACCCGTCTGAACCTGGGAACACCTGCCCCTGAGTGTCCACCAGGCTCCGGGGCTACCTCACCCCTGGGTGGGCTGTCTCTCTGATATCACACAGTTTCCCCAGACCCCTGCCCCCTCAGAGGGTGGAGATGCTCCAAGATCGGCCATGACAAGGTCCCTATTTTCAGAATGAACCAGGCTCCATTTCAGAATGACTCTTCCTGACCATGCTTAAGACTTGACAGCCTGAGGCAAAACCTATGGAAAAGG